TCAATTAGAAAGGTCAGCATTCAGCTGTTTGAATCCCTAATGCTGTGTAATGGAGTGAGCTCCCATTACTTGCCCCAGCTTCTGCCAACCTAGCAGTTCGAAAGCATGTAAAAATGCAAGTAGAAAAATAGGGACCACCTTGGTGGAAAGTGTTCCATGCACCTTTGACATTTAGTCATGCCGGCCAGATGACCATGGAGTTGTCATCAGACAGCACTGGCTCTTTGGCTTAGAAACAGAGATGAGCACCACCCCCTAGAGTCGGGAATGACTAGCACGTATGTGCGAGGGGAACCTTTACCTTTACCTTTAGTGAACTCTGCATGCCAGTGATTTTTTGAACATGTGTGCTGAGTTTCACAAAGATAGGACAAAGGGGAAAAAATAAGAAAGGGATAGCTAATTACATGTATAAGTTATTAAGTCCGGAGGTAAAGTATGTGTGGAAGAGTGAGCCTATCGAGGTAGTGCCCTATTCTTGTTTCCTGGGAAGGACATATAAAGAATTATGGGAGTAAGTGCTAAGAGTGTAGAATCCTAATAAAGTCACCCAAGGTGTGAAGACACCCCAGCTGCCCAGTTAAAGCAAATAGGCACCTATATTGGCAATAATAAAATAGGAAGATTCTGGAGATGGAAGATCACTTCAGTGACAACAACAAAGCCTCTTATTGCATACAGCACTGGAGAAATCCAAGGTTAAACCCTTTTGTATTTTACTAAGAAAATAATGCAGATAGAAAAGGAAAAAATGATTGACAGTATTGTGCCACATGTAAGGCCTCTCAAGTTGGATGACACTCAACAATCTACAGGGGAGCAGCTAGGATCCTTCGGAATACTGTTTATGATGTGGCTAGATTAAATCTTTCAAGACATCTAATTGTTGAAGTTGCCATGCAGGAAAAGTAGATCTGAAGCTGCAAGAATAGATAATCTTTATTTAGCAACTACAATTGGGACCAGCAACTCAATTGTTAAGCAAAGTGGTTGCTAAGTAAAACCATGACTGTGCTTATGATCTTACTTCAGCTTTCCTTCGCTTTACAACCTGAGAAAGTCATAAATGTGATGATTGGCTGCAACGTTACTTTTCATCACCATCATAATTCTGGACAATTGTGCACATGGAACTTAAGAAGCGTCAATGCAGTGAAAGATGAAATGGATCAACCTCATATTGACATTTTAGGCATCACTGCATTGAGACGGACTGGAATCAGATATTCTCAGTCAGATCACATGGTTTACAACCTAGGATATAATCAAAAAGGAAGTTGTTTTCATAGTTAGAAAGTGGATACAACATTAATTTTTTTTAAATTAAATTTATATACCGCCCTACTCCTGAAGGACTCAGGGCGGTGAACAGCCAAGAGATAAAATACATATAATACAAATGTTAAAAAACCATTTAAAAATACATTAAACACTTTGGCCCACAAATTGACTACAATGCAGTCAATGATTGAATAATATTAACTAGATTTTGTGGACAACCATTTAAAATGATATCCACGTTTACGCTCCAACCGCTGAAGCAGAAGAGGAAGAAGCTGATGGGTTTTATGATCAAGTTCAATTTGAAACTGACAGAACAGGTAGATAAGACTTGTTTCTTGAGATTGGAGACTGGAATGCCGATGGAGTACATAAAAATTGAATTGACTGTATTATTGGTACAAGAAGGTAAAATAGTTCAATTGGAACAGCAAATACATGGCTGACAGATCACAAACTGATCAAGGCAAGTTCCCAGTTAAGCTAAAGTGGAAGGGAAAAAAATGAGTTTCATTGTATTATCTTGAGCATATACCCAACAGTTTCAACAAGAACCACAGGAATCACTGAAGCCCTGAACTTCATTGATAGAACCACAGGAACTGTGAAATGAACTTAAATGTTAATGATGAATTTGAAAAAGAGATTGTCTAATATCAAGGAATGGAAGAGAGTCAACTGGATGTCATTAAAATTGTGTAAATTGCAAAGAACAGAAAAGACAAGAAATATAAAGATTTTACATCAAAGGTTTTCATAGAGCTGTCAGAAGAGATAAGCAGCAGTATTACAACAACTCTAAAGACACTGAAAAGGGGGGAAAAACATGGAAAAATAAGGCAAATCTTTAAAAAGTTTTTTGAATTCAACAAGAGGTTCCAATCTTGGTAAGCTAAAGAATGCCAATGGACAAATAATAACTGATTCAAAGATCAAGAAAGATGGAAAGAGTATGGAAATATTGAACAATAGAGGTATCAACATCCAAGATGCCTTAGAAGAGATTCCTTAATAGGAATTTCTCCTTAATAAGAACTTCTAGTACTAGAAGTAAGTACTACTTACCCAGGAAAGTAAGCAGAAGAAGAATCAGTAACGGTTCTAACCAAGCTATGCCAGCAAATCTGTAAAATGACCAAAAAAAGGAAACCTAACAGAGTATGCCAACTATCTTACAATATCCTTAATTTCACATGCCAGTAAAATATGGTTTATGGATATCTAACCAATAGACCCCTATATGGAAAGGGAGATGCCAATAGTCAAACTATCAAAGAAAAAACCTAGAAACACAAGACATCATTACTGATGCATGCTGAATAATTCAGCAAACCAAAGAATACCAAAAAGAGCCACTGTGTGCTTTGTTCATTAGAGAAAGGCCTTCAATTGTGTTGATCATGCTGAGCTGTAGAATGCGTTAATAAAATGGGAATCCCCAAATATTTCATTGTGTTCATGTGAACCAGTACACAGGTCAAGAAGCCATAGAGTGAGTGGAGAATGGCAAAACAAAACATTTCCTGTCTATGAAGATTCTCAGTCATCCAGGACACGGTTGTCCCAAAGGTGCTTTTTCAAGAGGCTGTGTTCCACAGTGAAGGGACACAAGGCAGGAAACATCCAAGAAGGCTCCAGGTACATTTGTACTATGCAGGTGAACCTGAGGACACAGACAAACCTCCAAGTGGCCCCAACGACTCTCTAAAAGAATGTAAATGACCATCAGTCTGCAAGGAGTATAAATCCTTCCATTCCCCCCACCATCCAATCGCAGCTGAAGAAGCTTCTTGGATGAGAAGTGAAACTTCTTGTAAGAAAAACAAGAAGGTCCAGTTACCTCTTGAAAAAGCATCTTTGGGACAAAATGTTTCCGGTTTGCCAGAGGAGCGAAACAAGACTGTACAATATACCTCTGCCATTAGTTATTCAATCTCCATGTGGAACATATATTGAAGGAAGCTGGATTGGAAGACGACGAGCATGTTTTTAAAACTGGAAGAGGAAACATCAATAACCAGTCCTCTGACAGTTAAATATGCAAATGATCTACAAACTGTAGTAATGAAAGTCAAGCTTCATAGTTAAAAAATGGGATTAAGTTTAAATATAAAGAAGACCAAATTAATGACAAATGCAGCAGCCAGCCTTAGAATTCACAATATAGATACTGAAGTAATAGATACTTTTTAGGATTTGCTATCTGGGTAAAGGAACCTGCAATCAAAGTGACTTATGACCGGTTTTCACACTTACAACTGTTGTAGAATCTCCACGGTCATGTGATCAAAATTCAGGCATTTGGTAACTGCAATGTATTTGTGACAGTTGTACTGGACTGAGATCACCGTATCAGTGGTGGGTTTCAAAAATTTTTAGTACCGGTTCTGTGGGTGTGGCTTAGTGAGCATGGCATGGCTTGGTGGGTGTGGCTTGGTGGGCATGGCAGGGAAAGGATACTGCAAAATCTCCATTTCCTCCCAATGAGAATAGATGGGGTGGGGCCAGTCAGAATTTTCACTACTGGTTCTCTGAACTACTTAAAATTTCCGCTACTGGTTATCCAGAACTGGTCAGAACCTGCTGAAACCCACCTCTGCAGCATATCTAACCTTCCCAATTGACTTCTGATAAGCAAAAGTCCATGGGGGAAGCCAGATTTGCGTAACAACAGCATGATTCATTTAACAATTGTGATAAAATGTCATAAAATGGGACACAACTCACTTAACAACTGTCTTGCTTAGCAATGGAAATTTTGAGCTCAGCTGTGGTCATAAATTGAGGACTACCTATATTATATCAATGCCATGTACTATCGTAGCATGATATTACTCATCCCCAAATGCTTTTTTTTCTTGTGCAATCATTCAGTCACTTCCAACTGTGATCTGATGCACATTATTTCCCAGGATCGTCTGTCAATAACCACTCCTCTGAGTTCTTGTAAATCTCATAATGTTTGTTCAAAGACAATTTTGCCTCATGAGTCAGATGAAATTTCTGTTCTGCCTTTACATACATAACCCTATCCTGAAAGAAAGAAGACCGGCTTCTTAAAAAAAAAATAGATGCATTTTGGTCAATAGGTGCTCATCAGTCCTATTATTGAACAGTTCTGATACCTTTTATTCCTTCCAACCCAACTGAATGTTGGAGATAAATTATATAAAGGTACTCAGAATTCTGCTTGTCTGCCGAATTACTCTCTCAAAAAGGAACAAAACGGGATCAAATCTGGTAAGATGGGAGAAGCTGTCAAACAAAATAGCAATAGCACTTAGACATACTGTATATACTACTTCACAGCCTTTTCTAAGTGGTTTACAGAGTCAGCATATTGCCCTCAACAATTTGGGTCCTCATTTTGCTGACCTCAGAGGGATGGAAGGCTGAGTCAACCTTAAGCCAGTTAGGAAGTATTGAATTTGAAATGAGCTGGATCTAAGTTGGGTCAGAGGAGAAAAGCATTCCAGAAAAAAACAGTCCAGAAAATAAATGTCTCTCTAGAAGAGACACGAGGTCAGCCCCACCCCATTCTTAAATTCTTCCTTCCTCATCCCAGTCATTTGAATCATAGATCACTCTATATGCTCCCCAGTGTGCACATATACACAAATATACAACACAACCAGAAAGGAGAAAATATAGGCAGCTACAACATTATTACTTTGTTGCAAAGAACAAAACACAGAGACTTCCTGTGTTCATTGCAGGTATGAATTTCAGAAACTCTTGGGGTTTTTTTTATTCCAAAAGATATCAAATAAAGTGCATATAAATAAAATACGGTTGGATAGCTGTGGTTAAAAACTCTGAAACTTTAACATACAATAAACTATATATGATCAGCTTTTAAAAATTATTTGTACACATCCTGAATAAAGGATCACTAATGAATATGCTTATGTATAAAATGTTTATGTATAATATGTACATTTTAAAAGCATTGAAACATTTGTGTGTATTTTAATCAGACTAATCATCGTTGAGAATTTCAAGTTTTTTAAATCATTAGTTAATTCTTTAAATAATTTTGCCTCTAGAATTAACAAGCATTTGCTCTCAATTTTCAAGACAAAATGAAAATCATTGAAAAGCAATTATGTGATCCTTTGATATTAATTATCACTGCTATACAGAGTGCCAATGGGTATGTACAGTCCTCATTTCATTTAGCAAAATTTGTTTCTTAGTTTCAGCTTCAAGTTAGTGGGGTTTCTTCTTTGCTTTTTTTGTCTCTTTTTCTTTTAAATATATTTTGGAGGAAAAGGTGCAACAGAATGCATATTACCCCAATCAGGTGTTTTTTTTAAACAATGCTGCTTATTTGTGGGGAAAACATTGGTGTTCTGTTATCCTGTTCCCCTAGAAAGTCATGTTTTCTTTGGATTTTCAAAAACAACATGATTGTGTTCTGGGAAGACTAGTATTATGATCCTCCCTTTCAAACTACAATGGTCTTGAGTGGCATCTCAATAACTGTGCAGTTGTCACCACCACTTTAAGCTAACACAGTTTCTCATGAATGCTTTTTTGTGGGGTGTAAACTGCCTGGACATTTATCTGATTTCATGCATTCATTGACATGGCCCTTTTTCATAGCTTGTCTTGGTTTCTAATTCTGAAATACCCATCCCTTTGAAACACATTTATATCCATAAAAAATGTTACTCTCCTGGCAATCTTATTCAGATGTCAATGTCTGATAGAATTATACCAGTGCTGGTATCATCCTTGGGTTTTGGTTCTTAAACATTCTTGCTCCTGTGACTTCTGAATGTAGGGGTTTCCGGGCTGCATTTCAGGTACAGGAAGAACTAAGCCAAGGGGCTTGTAAACATGCCATCATTACTCAAATGCCTCTGTAGGGCAGAGGTCTTTAAACTTGGCAGCTTTAAGACTGGCTTGACAGCATAGCTGGCTGGAAAATTCTGGGAGTTGAAGTCCACAAGTCTTAAAGCTGCCTCGTTTGAAGACCTCTGCTGTAAGCCATAATTTAAAATTACCACTTTTAGGAAAGAATGGATAGGCTGTTGTTGAAAACTGTTTCTAGAACCCAGCAGCTGAATTGTGCAAGCACCACTATTTCTCCAGGAAGACCTCCAGTTTCTATTAGCCATCTCCCCGGCTCCATAATAATGGCTGTCATTAATTTTGCAGAGATAGTGAAAATCCTCAAAGTCGGATAAGATGGCATTCCATTTTTGCAAGGAAGCCTTAAAGATCTTCCTTCCGTCTTCCTGCTTGCTACTCCTTTAAGCTTTCCTTTCCCAGACGCCAGCTGTCACCCAGGAAATTTGCAGCAGCATCTTCTCCTGCCTCCTTAGTTGGCTGAAGCTTCACCAGCATGGCCTGGAGAGTTTCCTTCACCATCTGGATCTCTCTTTGTAGAGACTGTATATGCTTTATTAAGGAATAAATTGAAAGGTAATTGGCAGCTCCTTTCCCCTCTCCCACTTATTTAATAAGTTGTTGTTGTACTCTGCACAACAGATGGGCACTGCTAGCTAATTGCAGCATCAAGTTCATCTAAATTGATTGGATTAAATATTAATACATATTTCACACTAGCTCCCCACCCCACCCCACCCCCACGCGCACACACACCTGTCTTTGTAAGCCTGTAGGCAACCAACAGCCTTATGCAGTGTTTTTGCTTAAGGGGTGTAAAATGAACAGCATTCTAGGGACGTGTATGTGCATATGTAAGTGTGAATGGTTGCTGTAACTCCCAAAGTGGTACACAGAGAATTGCAGCCACTATTCAGAGAGAACGATCAGAAATCTTCATTTCAAAGTTATATACATGAATATAAATAACCTGTTTCTCACTGTGCCAGAACTTCAGTTTATAGATGTTAATTTTAACTAACATAAGATTTGGTCTCTGAGTTCATGTTTATAGAATTCTCTCTTTCTTCCACCCATGCACACCCTAATATGCAATTAACATATACGGCTTCCCCTAAGATGAAATGCAATCCCATATTTTTTTATGTATAGGCAGCAATAAAAACATTATAAACATGAGGTTCCGTTCTGTTTGTGAACACATGTGCTTTAACATAAAATTTGTAACACGTAACTTGGCACATTAGCATGTACCCCCAGTTAGGAGTGCTGACTACAACTTGCAGTCTTGGAAATGAGAATTTTTTCCTCTGCAGCCTTATTTCTGCAATTGGATCAATATGTATGGAATGACTCTCTATAATACTAACCAATTTCCTATGGAATCTAGCACAAATGGAGCTTAATTAGAACAGATGCAATCAGAGTATGACTAATTTCTATGTACAGCAAGAAAAACTATACTTCAAAAACAAGTGTTACATGCTTTGCTTGGGAACCAAATGTTGAAAATTATTTTAACATGAAGATAGTTACCATCTTAACATGCAAATAGTTCCTGATGGGCCTCCCTATCTTTTATTTTGCTTCAGATTTCTGATCCATTGGACAAACCTTGCTGATTTTCATCCCCATTCAGCAAATTGCTTCTTTCATGGTGCAAAATAAAGGAGAAAAGGGATCATCTGGTGATCCATCTCTACTCTGCTGTGACTATGTGCATCAAAGGGTTAAAGCTGGAATAACCATAGGCCACTCCTTTTGGGACTGGCCATGCTATTGATCTACAGCACTGTCTCCAGTAGCTCTGGAAAGTTCTGTGCCTTTTGACACTGTCGAAATATATTATATTTTATACCATCTCAATATTCCCTTAAACATTAACAAAATCGACAATGAACTAAGAATTGTGTCTCTGCTAAATCATTGACAGTCAATCTGAAACTAGGTTAATCTCGGTAGTAAAAATAGCAAACAGGGGGAAATCCTTTATTTAAACTTCATTGAACCCCCAAATAAATCACCCAGACTTAATCCTCACATCAAAGAAGAAGGTCTGTAAACTCAAATAGAGTTAATTAAAACCTTCTCCCAGCAGAATTGCACATTCACCAAAATAAGCATCACAGATTACATGTACCTACTCAAACTCCATGGCCCACAAAGGACCACCTTTCTATAAAAATGTCTGATTTCTGTAACCCTTTTGTAGCTTCCTTTCAGGGCTGGATTCTGTGCTCTTTAAATAAACCAACTCCTTTCCATGCAGCATGTTTGGTGTCCTTGAAACACCCTGGCTTAGATCGGGACCCTCAAATGCCTTGCACAATACAGATAAATAGATACATGGATAGTGTAAAATCTTGCCTGTTATTCATGTCTCTCTCCTTGATGGGTTGTGTTTTGTTTTGGGGTTTGGTTTTTTTTTGGCTTGTCTTATCCTATTTGCCAGTTAAATGTTTTGATGTTTGCTGATGCAGATAAACATCAAACTATATTTTTGCTAGTTGATCTGAGTGGTGTATGTGCTTTCTATGAAGGTAAAAAATGTGGCCTTAAGAGGTAATTGGAAGGGAGGGAAAATCCCAGGAAGGAGATGGGGGAAATCAGAAATCAGAAGGGAATCATGGGAAATATATGTAAATATTTTTAATCTCAGTTTCGCATTCCAATTTAAAAAGCATTTTTTCAGCTTTTTTTTTCTATTAAAGCTCTCTCAAGAATCCAGCTCCCCCCATAATTTACATAAATTTGCTGAGTTTTTAAAAGGAATTGAACTGTTCTGTATATGCATGTGTATAATTTCACTTTTTAATTTTAGAATTCTGTTATTGTACAAATGAAATTACAGACAAAACACAAAAAGAATAAAACAGTAATAAATTGAAAAACAAAAATAAAAATAATGATCCATATAGCAAGTTTCAAGTTGAGAATATGAATATATAGAAAGGTCAGAAAGGTTTTAATTATATTATTAAATTTAGACCTCACAGAAATATAGTGCTCCGTTTTTTCATTTTCCACAATATTGGGATCCTGTAAAGATAACTCACCTTTTGAATCCACATATTGTAAAGTCTTATTTTTCCCCCCACCTATGTAAGACTTGGCTGGGTTACATAGAGCCATTTCATTTCATAAAAACTCAACATCCACATTTTAAAAAATTTAGTTCAACCTTGTGCAAAATTTCACCCAGGGTTTAGAGATTTTCATTTTCCATTGCTGAAGAAATATTGCTCACATCTTTAAAATGAAAAATAAACTGACCATCAATGAAACCTTCATAATTCTACAGGGGTAGTGAAATGGGCAGAGAAGTTCTACAAGGCATTGTCAGACACACTACATACTCTTCAAAATGTAGTGGTGGTGCTACAGATGGTGCTCCCTCTGCGTCAGAGATCCATCCTCACCCTGCATTTACACAAGGTCCAAACTATCTGGAGATAGTTCCAGGTCCCGATTTCCTCCTGCTTCAGTTGTCTGCTTTCAAGGAAACAGAGAGTAGTAAGTAATAAGCTCCACTGATTGGTTTTGTGGGCCACTGAGCAAAGTCACTTCAATGAACTTCCATCCTCCCAATATGACCTTGGTAATTTTCCTCTGATCTAAAGTGACCTTAACTGATCTCCAGTTAAGGTCACTTTAAAGGTTGGATCTGGTTAGTTCTTGGAAGCGAATATACCAGGAAATCTCAGGTTTGTAGGCAAGATTAGGAAGTCAGAAAACATCCAAGAAGAAGGCAATCCAAAGTAATCAAAAGAGCAACATGCTATGACTGCTCACTAGGCATCAACAAGAGTTGAATTTGATCTAAGAACTCTTTCATTTTTTACTTCTGGGCCAATTGGAAAAGCAAATAAATGCTTCTGCTCCTTCTCTTTGCTTGCTAAGAGAAGGCAAATAAACAAGGAAGCAATTTACTAAGTGATTACTAACATGACCAAAGGTTCAGGGAATAGCTATGGATTGAGAACAGATTCCCTGCAACACAGATTTGTAACACAGATATTCAGAGACAGCAATTTCTCTGGTGAAAAAGGTTTACGTTGATAGTAAATGCACAGTCTCAGTATGTAGCACTGAGGCTATGCATATGATATTCTTTTAGCAGTTTTAGTTAAACAAATAACATATCGTACCAGACAAAAGAACAGGGATAGACATTCTGATTTCCACATGTACCTCCCTCCAAATACATATGTTTTGTAGTCTGTTTTAAAGAAAACAAAATACTAATTCTCCCCCCCAAAAAAAGAAAAAAGGAATCAGTTAGTAATTCAGAATCACTACAGAAAATTACTGGAAGCTTTTTTTTTTTTTTTTTTGGAAGCATAGTGAAAAAGGAATCCTTTGTACATGCAGGATTAAACGAGTCAACCCATATTTTAGTCAAACTATTACAAGCACTCAAATTGTCTGGCAAAATCATAACTGCTAATTAAGACCCCAAATAACTGTGAAATTGCAATATAAAATCCATTTAATTTTATTGGGAATGCTAGAACTCTCCCTATCAGTGAAATAACACCTCTCATCAGCTCCTTAGACACCAGAAGTACATTACCTCAGCTTTTGGCTCTTCCAATTAACAATTCAGATTATTTTCATCTGCTTTTCTACTGATTGAGAGCCATTGGCTCTTTTGCAGACTTGCTGAACTCTGGTTCTTTTATCTAAATATATTGATCAGGCAAAAGGATACATACAATCCAATACCAGCTTACTCGGGAGTAAGTCCCATGAAATTCAAGGGATTTATACCAAGTGAGGAAGTCTAAGAGTGCAGTTTAATTTGGTTGTTTGCTTTTTTCCCCCCATCTGCCAAATGTGAAACCTACTGCTTAATATTTACTTTTGAGAAGCTACAATATTAAATAAAAATCCCTGGTGGGGCTGGGTAAATATTCAGTGTTAAGCATTAGTGCTGGCTTCTGGCTTCATCTATGTTGTGTTAGTCAGCTCCTGCTAGCAGGCTGGTTGATTCCAGTATTCAGTGCCATTAAAATGTAGATTGAAAAAACAATGACATCTGGGATTTATTCCTTCTAATAGAAATTTAATTATTAATCAAACCCACAGTGAGTTTAAATATTGGCAGAACCGCTTGCTTGACAGCACCAGGAAGTTGGATCACTCAGAAGGAATCTTTCAATCTCTCTTTTAAGAGATGCAGTTCTACTTCTATCTATTAAACCAATTTTTATCTTAGTCAGACTCGGAACTGAGGACCTATTTTGCCATCTGCAAGAACTGATGCGTCTTAATGTATGCCTTAGGCATGAAAATATCTAGGGTTTGGGTATGTTTGCCACCAGAAATACTGCGTGCATCTTTTGAAGAGCAAGTAAGTGCCATTGCTAAGAGCTACTTCCAACATGACGTTTGCCAGCTTCTCTGCCCATTTAACTTTCCATGCCAATGAACACTTAATGTGAACGTTAGAAGCTGTGGGAGGTGGAACCTTCAAATCAGTTTCCAAGGCCAGATTGCACTTTAAGATACAAACTCCTACTCGTGGAAGTTGATCTTGCCGAATT